CTAGGAGGCCATGATGCGTGAGAGATACATGTATATATGAGTATGTATATGTGTATGTATGTATGCATGTGCCTATGTGTGTATGTATGTGTATATTTCTGTGTATGTGTATATATATGTGTATGTATGTGCATATGTGTGTATGTTTTTATATCTGTGTATATGTGTGTATATATGTGTGTGTATGTGTGTATGTGTGTATGTGTGTATTGTGTGTATGTGTATGTGTGTTGGGCACTGCCTCCACATCTTGGTAGTTAGGCTCCCAGACACACCTCTGGTCCAGCTGTGGCTCTTCAAGCCCCTGCCTGCTTGTCCCTCCTCAGTCATGCCTTTATTTTGTCCCCTCTGAGCTTTGTCAATTTTAAATCCATGTGTCTTCTTCCTCGGTTGATTTCTTCGCTCTTCTAGAGTGCTTCTTTCCACATAGGAGGTAAATATATTGAGATGTAAGACCCGATGTATCAAGATGCCTGTGGTTCTTCTTGTCGTTCTTAACAGACCTTTTGTGGAAGAGATAGGCATCAAAGTTAGAAAACACCCTTCCTTGGGATTTGAGAGCCTGCTTGCTCTGTTTTGGATATGGTTTGTCTTTGAAGGTTCATGTGCTACAAGCTTTGTCCCCAGTGTGGTGGTGTTTAACTGAGAGCATCTTTAATAGGGGAAAGGTCCTTAGATGGTGGGGACACTACCCTCATGAAGAGGTTAATGTCATCATTATGGAGTGAGGGGTTGGGTCTCACAGGAATGGGTTGGTTTCAAAATGAGTTGGTTGTCATTAAAGAGTGACCCTGACCCCTTCCCTACCTCCTGCCTCTCCTGTAACTTTTCACATGTGTCCTTCTGTGTGATGCTACCATGAGGCCCTCATATGAGCATATTGATGTCATGCTCTTGGACTTTCAGAATAGTGAATTGAACAAATCTCTTCCTTTTGTAAATCCTCCAACTACACAAAACAGATGAAGGACTTGTTCCTGCCTTCAAACACTCAGTGTCTCTGTTGGGAAGCCTGCTGACCTTGGTTCTCTAACCCAATATGTGCAACCAATTTTCCTCTTGAAAGCCTCTGAGGTCTGCTTTTCATTCCCAATGTTCTGATATTTTTCTATGGGAATAATTTCTTGCTGGTTGCTTATTGAAATATTGAACATTATAATAGCATTTACATGTATCATTTAAAAGCAGGTATAAACTCCTATTGCTTATGGTTCTTCCAATACAAAAATAGTACCTGAAATTACAAACCAAACATAAAACACAACCATCTTAAATGCATACCATTCAGCATACTGTGACAGCTGACAGTTCTTTCAGTTGTAGGGATTCTGTACATATTGCTGTGGCTCAATGGCATCCATGTGAGATCACCTACCATCGCTGTGTGAATGAGTCTTTCCTGTTATAAAATTTATATATATTTAGTCTGCCCTCCAGCCTTTGTCATTAGCCATGGCAACTAATGTAATTCCTTTTGGTGTGATTCATAAATGCAGTTGACACAGAATGATGGGTTGGTCATAAGTGGTCCACAGATATGCTTGTTTACAAGAAGTTTGGAGGGTTGTCATTAGAATGAAAGCATAAAGCATAAATGTTTTCACAGAGAGCTCATAGAAGCCTAAGAATTCTGTGGTCCATTCCTATTATAGGCAGCAAATAGAACCTTTGATATTTTCCTTTTGGGGGTCAGATTCAGCTTCCACTCTTGAATACCTGTCAAATGCACTAATTTCATATTTGAATAAAAAGAAAGTAATATCTTGATAGCTGAAGGAAGAACACAAGTATCTCTCAGAATCATTTCTATCCCACTGGAGATTTTGTCTAAGAGTCATAGTCTCAGTACCAGGAGAATGCTTGCCTAAAGATGCTGGGAGCTAACATCCTTCAGCATTCTGAAGAGTACTTCTTGACACTCTGATTCACTTTTTGATGATACCAGAGCCACTGTATAGGGACACATTTTCTTTCTTTGTTTTAAGATTTATTTATTTATTTATTTTATTTATATGAGTACACTGTAGCTGTCTTCAGATAACCAGAAGGCATTCGATCCCATTAAAGGTGGTTGTGAGCCACCATGTGGTTGCTGGGAATTGAACTCAGGACCTCTGGAAGAGCAGTCAGTGCTCTTAACTGCTGAGCCATCTCTCGAGCCCTGGGGACACATTTTCAATGTGAGGTAAATACCCAAAGGCAGCTACTCTGGTTAGGCCACTGTAGACTATAGAAGCCTTCACTGCCCGGTAAATGATTGGATCTGTCATTGTTCTGGGATCAGCATCCAGTGTTCAGAGCTAAAGAGAACCTCTATGCATGCAAAACCACCAGCCTTTGAAAGCCCCTGTTCTGCACACAGGCAGTACTTGCCTGCCCAGGCCTCTGAAGCAGCTGGTCAGGCGGAGACTCTGTGGCTACCTGAGGTGGCTGCGATCATTACTCAATCAGTCCTGTATCAGTGTTGCCTCTTGCAACAGGAGCTCAGAGTTTCCCAGCCACATGACCTTGGGTCTCAAGAGTGACCTGGGAGTGGCCTTAAGATTCAGCATTTCCCCTGTATCTCTTAAACTCTTTTAGATTAAGGCTTTTTAAGATGGAGGTTTTGCTTCCTGACTGGTCCAGAGAGTTAGTGGCTGCATGATGTGCTGCCCATCAGGGCCTCTTGTTATATCAAAATGTTCTAGATCTAGTGCAAAAGCCACTTGCTGTATGAATATGCTCAAGCCCTTGGAATGTGGTTGGTGCGAATGAGACACTAATCCATCTCTGGTTCTCATTGTGAAGAATTTAAGTACCACCCATGATGACCATATTAGTTGGCCTTTCTAGTTTGGGGAACCCAATGGCCTTGTGCATTCCTAATGAGAGGATACCCAGCTGAGGTGCCTCCTGACTGGGGGAAAGATCATCACACAAGTCCAAGCTGGTTTGATAAAGCTTGACTCAGTATCAAAGCTCTTCCTGTGATTTTTTTTTTGTGGGGGGGAGAAGAGGGATCCCCACTTCTGTACTGTTCTGAGGAGGTAGTCATTATTCACTGTGCCTTTGACTCCTTCTAGAACAGAAGACTCTAAGCGTTCCACAGCTCCCATTACTTGAGCAGAGTCTGTGCCAGGTTCTTTGACTTCACAAAGCCACAGCATAAACCAATGCTTGGTGTCCTCAGAGGATAAATACTGAACCCAGAGCTCTGTTCTAGGGAGGGCTGGGTTCATGGTGAGTGGGAGGCTGTGCTGTCTGAAGATTAGATCAAAACTTGAGGTCTATTTTGCATGACTTTTCTTGAGCAAAGTTAGCTGAGACCTGCAAAGGTGATCTTGCCTCACAAGGTACTACTGATTGAAAAGTTGCCATGCCGAACTATGGATGGAGCTGAATTCATTTTCAGCTTCCCTTTCTGAAACACATGTACTGGGGTTCATCATTAGGGCCTCTTGCACTGAGGATGCCTAAAGAGTGACCAACCTGTGGATGATTCACCAGCCCACGGTCTCCCACTCCACCCTGTGCTGTGCTGGTCTCTGGATGTTATTCTGTAAGCCAGTGGGGTTTCACTGCTGGTGGTTGAAATCACATTGGTCCTTTCACTGTAGAGAATCTGGCAAACTCTACACCTCTACTGCTAATCCGTTTAGGGGCCCCCAATAGCAACAACTCTCCTCTGCCAGCATTCATTTCTGCCATGATTTCAAATACATCCAAAATCAGATTGTTGGAGATGTTCAGAACGGCAGGAGATTCAGAATGTCAGCATGCCCCCTTACAGGGGATTCAAGACCAGGTAGTTAATTTACATAGAGCAGCTAAGGCCACATGAAGCTTTCCTTCTAGCTACTGCTGATACCCTTCCGCTCTCTCTGGGGCTGAGCTGAATCAGACAGCTGAACTCATGGGACAGGATGAAGCACAAAGTTGCAGACCTCTCTCGAAGCCTGGTTTATTTTTATATTTGAAGACATAAAGGAGAGACTCAAGTGGCAGAACAGAGGGCTACTGAGTGCTGGATATTCCGTTTCCAAACCAGTGAGGTCTTGCACCTGTCTTACCTCCATTTCTGGACTGGATGTCTTTGGTTGCTTAACCCAAATTGGATGAAATAATATCAGATGTCTACTTAAATGTGTTTTTACCTGGGGCTTAGTGGTTTTACCTAGAAACTGCTTTGAAAATATTTTTATTATTTCTTAGAGAATTTCATACAACATAGCACGACTATGTTCACTCCCATCTCTCCCTGCCCACACTCCTCAGCCCCACCCCTTTTCCCAACCCTCTTGTCCTCTTGCTACTGGGTTTTAGAAGAGACTATCCTGTTATGGCTGTCTCCCAGCTCCTCTCCCACCCTCCCCTTCCTGTCATCATTGTCCTAAACTCTTCCATGGCAGCAAGCAAGACCAGCAACATCCAGGATTCTACCCTTCCTCGGCCCGCACTCGTTCAGAGGGAACACGGGGTTCTCTTGTGGAAAGAGCATCTTTCTTAGAACTCCCTTGGACCTTAGATTACACATCTTCCAGGAGTCAGTGTGATTAGGTGATGCTTCTGACCCCAAACCCTGTGGTGACATCAGGTTTTCTACAGACCAGAGGCTGTGAAGAGAGATGTGGCCCACAGTAAAGACTGGTGTGGTCACCGAGAGAAGAGTAGATGTGGATCACAAACTGTAATTCCCACTTTTTCTGAACTCTAACAATCTACCATGATCTACTCGTAGGTGTGATAACTGTTAGGAACAGAATGCCATGCTCCTGTGCCTTTGTTTCCTCTTGTCCCTCTTTCTTTCTCCCCTTCCTTCCCATACCTCATTTCTACTCCCATTTCTTCACCCTCCTTCTCCATTCCCTCACTCCAGTCCTCTAGGCTTGCTTTTCTCTTCTTATCCGCCATTGCCCCGCTTCTGGATGGATAATGGAGTCTTGTATTTAACTCGATTGGGTTAGCACACTGTACTTAGTTTTTCCCTACACTAAAACTTCCATTCACATTTGCTCCCCCAGGAAGAAGAAATGCCAGACGTAGAAATTGACATTGATGATCTCCTTGATGCCGACAGCGAGGAGGAAAGAGCTTCGAAATTACAGGTAAACAACTTTCAAAATCTAAGATGTCCTGACCATGGATGTTTGAGTCCACTTGGGTCTCCAAAGCTAGGGCATCGAATGATGCTGTTTGGGGGAGCACTGGCAGTTCCCAGGATTTGCACAATGGCATTTAACAGTAGAGAAAGCATTGGTGCTAGCGTCTGCTGCAAGCCTGATAACAGCTGTTGACAAAAGTTTTCCAGGGACTTCTGGGACCGTGCTCCCAATCCTTATTGTCTTGGGAGGCAGAGTCGGTTCCATCTTGAAAGGTCAATCACCAGGGATGGCAGCTGTGCCATACAGGCACGTGATAAGGAGAGGGACTAACCTAGACCTGGAAATATCCAAGCCCTGAGCTCTCGTCCTGCAACTGTGGATTAAACCATTTATGACAGTAATCTCTAGAATTAGATTGCTTGGAATGTGATTGTGTTTAATAAAATACATTTTATTAGGTACTCACATGGTTATATTTTGCCAGAATGGTGGGGATCAAGGTGGCTAATGTTTCTTAGTAGACAGCAGTACAACCCAGATTTTCCCATAGGAGGTCATGTCTCAGTCTTTTCTGGGCAGTTTTGAAAACTAATTAACCTGTAACATGCCATTGTTCTTAAGGTCCACTTGTAATTACTCTTAGTGGTTGTTGACTATCCCCAGTGGCACATTATGGCTGGAGCCAATCAAAATGCACATTTTACCTCATTGATGTGATTAATGTGTTCATAATTACAAGTGCCCCGAGAGTGCCCAGAAGCCTCAGTTCTAATGATTATTCCTTGTGTGTAGATTTCACTGAGAGACAATAGTTTTTTGATGTTTTGTTTTGTTTTTCAAGACAGGATTTCTTTGTGTAGCCTTGGCTATCCTGGAACTCACTTTGTAAACCAAGCTGGCCTCAAACTCACAAAGATCTGCCTACTTCTGCCTCCTAAGAACTGGAATTAAAGGCATGTGCCACCACACCTGGCCCTATAACAATATTTTTTTTTTATTTTTTACAAAAAGATAATGCAGACATCAGTTCTATAGAAAATAAAATGGCATTTAAAAAGTCAGTTAAGAACTTTTATTTGTCCTCTGAGTCCCCGTCCTGCTTGGTTCCCATGTGAGTGAGAAGAAAATCAAACCATCTACGGCTGAATCATGGCCAGAGCCCCCTCTCCATGTCCAGGATGGTGGCCACCATCTTACACAGGCAGGGTCTCAGCTTTAAGTATGTCCAGTTTAACGTGAGCCAGATAGGCAATCCAAAGGGAAGGGTGTGAGTGTGCACATGTATGTGCAGAAAGAGGGAAAATACCATCCTTTAAAGCAAGCTCTGATCAGTGAGACATTTATAATTTAGTGAGGGTTATATTTGATTTTCAAAGCTTTGATAACACAAAAGCAAGTCCTTTGTTTTTCAAAACTCTATGCAGTTTGTATATGTATGCATGTGTATGTGTATATATCTGTATATGTATATCCATGTGCATATACGTATGTATATGTGTATATGTATGTATGTATGTATGTATGTATGTATGTATGTATACCCATACTAAAAAACAAAACATGGCTACATATGAATGGCATTTTTATATCTTAGCTAACCAACTGGATCTCTAAAGAGAATTTATTTAGAATAATATTCCTAGATATGTATCTATTGATTTCTACGTTCAATGAAATAAAATGTGACTGTAGGTAGTCAGTAGTAATCCTTGAAAGACTGTTGTAAAATAATGATTAAAAGATGGAATGAAGGGGCGGGGGAGAAGGCTCAGCAGTTCAGAGCACTTGCTGCTCTCCCAGGGAACTAGAGTTCAGTTCTGAGCACCCACGTTGGTGGCTCACAACTGCCCATAACCCCAGTTCCATGGGAGAGCGAACATCCTCCCCTGACTTCCATGGATCCTGCATTCATGTGTACATAACACACACACACACACACACACACACTTTAAGATAAAATAATTTAAATTAAGAAGAAATGACTTTTTATTTCACCATTAAGATAATGAATTTTAAAAAATCCTGACTTTCTGTGTATTTAATTCTAGGAAGCTCTCGTAGACTGCTATAAACCAACAGAGGTAAGCAAATTATTCTACCTGAGTGCAGTGTTGGAATTGGGTCTCTGTCAGATCAATGTGCCTGTTTTGAAAGCTAAGCTACAACAAGTGAGTAGAAATGACCAGCGTCCACCCGTGCGCGCCTGTGCTGCTCACAGTGCTAGCTTCATTATTCTAAGCCGAAGCCTGTTTGGTTCAGGAAGATGTTATTGGCGCAGGGTGTGATTATGTTTTAGAGAAAATCTTCATGTCAGAGAAGATTGTGAGGAGGTGCAGTGTCATTATAGATGGAGAATACAGCTTATGGCTTTATGGGTATACATTTTAAAAAATGCTTCAAATCAGGGCTGGTGAGGTGGCTCAGGGATTAAGAGCACTGGCTGCTTTTCCAGAGGACCTGGGTTAGCTTTCTTGCAGCCACACAGCGATTCACAATCATCTGTAACTCCAGTTCCAGGTAATCTAATACCCTATGTTGGCATCTGTGGGTACTAGGCATGCACATGGTATATAGATATATACGCAGGCAAAATACATACCCGTAAATTACCTTTATTAGGAGAGAACAGTAGATATTGCTGATTAGATCAAAGCATCTGATGTAGAGATTACGGTTTTGATTGGTTATGAAATTATTAGCTTCCCCTACCTCCGCCAAATACTTTGTTCCTGTGGGAAATCAGAGAAGTTGGAAGGCCTGTCAGATGTTTGGAGATCATTTAATGTCAAAGCGATAGTGGTGATTCTTCTGAGTTTTGAAACAGTAAACTCTGGGGAAGAAAATATGTGTTTAAGACTGTGTAAATGTCTGTGTCTAAGATATTTTATGATCATTTGGTTTAAGGGTACAAATCAATCTGAGCTGTGTATTTAAAGCCCCCAGTTTTGATAACATCCTATAGAAATGTAAATGTTTAATTTCACCTATTAAAGTATTAAGGGTGTATTTTTGGTGAATATGACACACACTCATAGTTTTGAAAAACGACCATGTTACACATGTTATAAGGCCAAGAAAGAAAAGCTTGTCTTTCCCCATCCCTCTCTCTAGAGGCATATATATATATGTGTGTGTGTGTGTGTGTGTGTGTGTGTGTGTGTGTGCATATATGCCTCTTTCATTTACTGTTATATTCCTAGATATGTATTTATTGTTTTTGTCAATCTATTGACTTTCTAGGAAAGATGATAGTTCTCTTACTATCTATATAATTTCTTTTTATTCATCCCTTCAGTAAAATTATATAGCAGTATTTTATTAAATCAATATTTGAAGGCTATAATCTCACAATTTAAACAAGGGTCTTCACTACAAAGCCAACAGTAAACTAAGGCCATAACTCCTTACGTGCATATGTGCATGCATGCCTGTGCATGTGTGTGCTCGTACATGGGCATGCATGTGCACCTGCATGAATGTGGCCCCCTTTCTTTGTCTATTTTTCACCCATTGTTTTTATTTATTTCTCCCTCAGCGTCTGAATCTCTGGCTTTCTTCTTATCTAGAAATGAACTTTTAGATCGAACCTTGAAGCTCATCCTCAGTTTGTTTTCCATGCCCCTCACCTCATACCCAGCTTTCCCAAAGACTTCCTGGACTGGAGTCTTCTAGCACTTTCATTGACATCTTAAAGGGTTATCTGTCTCATATCTAACATCTCAGACTTCTTTCTGATCAGGTTTCCATTTGTTTTACTATTTTCCCCATTTCAGTAGTCAATGTTATTCTCCTTGAGGATTTTAATCAGGTGTTTTATTTTTTAACATTATTCTGTTTATTCTTGGGTCTTATTCAGGGGTGAGCAGGTTGCCAGTCAGACTTCTTAATGCTGTTTTATGTGGCATGAGATAAGTGCAGTATAACCATGAGGAACATAATACTGTCGGTTCCTTAAGATTACATTACAGTGAGCTGTCACCTCTGTTGCTATAAAATCTCACATACGTTCCTGAGAATAGAGCCCAGACTTTAAATGATGCATGGTTACTTTCTTTCTTTGTTCCCTTGGGAAGATTGACATTGTGTCAAAGTGATTGTTCTAACCCCTGGTTGGAAGGTTGCCAGCTTGAATTCAGGCTTTCTGGCGGCAGAAGGATGCAAGAGAGCCTCCTCCTTAGCTGTTCGGGGAATAGAGCCTCTTTATCTACAGAGTGTTGGGGGATGGATATAAATTAGAACATTCTTTTTTTTAAGATATGACTTTTTATTACATATCATAATGACATGTATTTTTCAAATATATTATTTATTTTATAATGAGCATTACCTATATTAAAATGGCAATGTTTTCAATACACATAGTATCATATTATGTAATACACATTACACACATCATATAACGATTATACATATATCACGTTACAAAGCACTTTTTTTACTGTTTTAAGACAGTCTCATGTAGCCCAGGCTGGCCTTGAACTTGCTACTTAGTGGAGGGTAGCCTTGAACTATTTATCGTCTTGCCTCTACCTCCCATGAATTATACCTTACAGAAAAGCATTCTGTTACTTTCACCATCCTGAGATTAAATTCACAGGTAAATCAACACACATACACTCATAATAACTACAAAAAATAATATGTTAACCTTACTTTTTATATATTATGTAAAACTATATGCTACCATACCCAACATAAGGGAAATAAAAGTACTTTCTGATACAGTAACATTTATTTCAAAGAGAAAACACTGGGGTGTGGTTATACTGGAAGAAATGAACAAACTAGACGATTTTATATATACACTTGTGATGAATAATACGACTTGTTATTTACTCTGTATTAGATCTTGCTTTAAGCATTGCAAATATCTCAACTCTTAATCCTCTTCAGAACCCACTAGGGAAAAGTCTCATCCCCTCTTTCCAGATGAAAAAAAAAATGAAACCTGGAGTGACTGGGTGCCTTACCAAGGATCCCACAGTCCCATGCCCTTATTTAACACTTGTAGGTACTCAATAGTATTTATCACGTAAACAAATAAACGAAAGTGTAATCTCTCAGGGTCCTCCAATCCTTCTGTCACTGGCCCCCTGGCCTTTCACCTACGACATCCCTACCTGGGACCCTGGGGGGTTAGTAGCTCATTCACAGAGAGATTTGAGGGAGCCTCCTGCTGCCTGGAGCCTCCAGACAAATCCTGGATGCTGTGGTAGAACTGTCGGTGGTTGGTACTCATGTCAACGCAGACGGTAGGGACCTTGGAGGAACAATGCTGGTAGAACTTGTAGCCACAGGTCTGGCAGCGAAATCCATGGAACAGAAACTTAAGGCAGAAGTCACAGAAGGCCAGGCTGAAGAATGTCTTCAGTACAAAATTGGGCATGGTCAGTGGCACATCTTCCAGGACCTCCACAATGAGCTCTTCACCATCCAAAAGCGCAATGGCTGTGTCCCAGGCAGTGACTGTCTTTCTTCCTTTGATGAGTCTGTAGATCATGCAGCAGTCCTGGTTGAGACCCTGCACCTTGAGGGCCTTGTCCAAAGTGTCATAGACACTCATGCCTTCCCGGACAGTCACCACCGTGCATTGCTTGTTAGGCAGGTACACTTTGACAGTGCCAACTGCCCAAGATGGCTCAGCCCCACTAACACGAGGGCCTCGTGGTGGTTCCATGTTGCCTAAGATTTTTTTCAAGATGGGCTGAGGTAGGAATGAGCAGCTACCATAGGCCTCCTGTCACACTGCTACCACCACCACTGCCTCCATCTTGGGCTTGTCCAAATTAGAATATTCTAATATGTGAAGAACAGTTTAAAGTTGATATGTCGGGTTGGACAAGATTCCTAGGGATGTAGATCAGAAAAATGAGGGCTGGACACGGAGCTCAGTGTGGAGTGCTTGCCTAGAATGCAAACGGTTGTCACCTTATTTCTCCATCCTGCCTAGTGTCCCCCTGGGGGCAGTGGGTGAGAAGGTGCAGAATCAACAGCACAGATTCTGGGAGCAGGTGAGAAGGCAGCAGCAAGCTCCTTTATTAATTCTTGGGAAGCATCCTTTATACCCTCCACCCTCATCCTATTGGTCCTAAGCAAGCATGTCCTCCAAGTGGCAGTTCCTGATTGGCTGTCATTGTCACCAATCTGTAGGCTCTCAAGCAGGCTTCAGTTTGTCCTTCCTGTGGAAGTTGTCTCTGTGGCTACAGGAGTGTGGGGATGGAGAGGAAACTTGGTGTTCACCAACTTATCAGGATGGCTACCTCCCTAGCAGCAGCCCTTCCTGTTTCTCCTCCACAGGGTACTCCATCCCAGTACTAAGGGAATTAAAAAGCAAGAGATTATGCAGATGGGTAACCTGCAATGTGAAGAAGCATGGATTGCTGTTGAAAAGAACCAGATTGATAGGTGCAGAATGTCACTTCTTAGATACCCACTCTGTTTGTGTTCAGTTCCCCTCTTAGGTAGATAGTTATTTAGGTGACAAGGCTTAGACTGTCAGATTTATACTTTGATCAGCCCCATAGACCAATCAAGCCCCTCTTTGTGCCCCCTGCTTTTTACCATATCTAGGGATCAAAATCTTACGGTGATTCACAGCTATGCAGGTAAATGAATGTGGAGGGTCCTGATCCTGCAGGAAAACTCATCTAATTTATTTTGAGTGTGTGCATTTCTGTATGTCTGTTTGTGTGTGTGTGTGTGTGTGTGTAAGCACTGTGGCTACATCAAGGCTAGGGGTCAACCTTGCCTGTCATTCCCCGGGTGCTGTCCATCTTGGCCTGGTTTTGTGGTTTGTTGAGAGAGGATCTCTCACTGTCCTGGGGCTCTCCATGTGGTCTAGGTAGGCTAGGCTAGGTAGCCAGCCTTAGGGGACCCTCCAGGCTTCTGCCTGTCCTATGCTGGGATTACTACCACACCTGGTTGGGGTTGAATTTAGCTCTTCATGTTCTCACAGCGAACTCTTTGCCAACTGGCTTATCCAGTGTCAGCCTCTGGTCCAATGGTCAGTCCTCTGATCCATTGGCTTAGGAGATTTAAAAAAGGTAACCACTCTTTGACTATTTTGAAAGGAGGGAAACGA